TCACTCCGGGCCAGCAGAAAAAGCTAGCTGTGGCCTGTAGGAGCTAGTGCACGTACGCAGCGGTGGTTTCGCCAGCAGCCACGTCAGACATGACCCATCCTCTCGTGTAATGATGCATGCTTGCCTACTAAATTATCGCGCAGATGTACGATTAGCGTCAGAAACACCCTGGCGTTCCAGGTTTGCCATAAAAGCATGTTGTGGATTGATTAAGGTATCATCCGTGCTCCTAATGAGGGTGTTTAGTGCGTGGAACGTATTATTGCTACATGGGGCATATATATGCATCATACTTGGAACTCTTCTCATAAGTACGCGAGTACTCTACTTGTTTTGGATTAATTCCTTGCTTGCATGGCATCTTCTTATACTACCATTATTTATACATTTATATATGTGTGTACGTATATGTCCGTGGTTTTGGTGATTGAATTCGTCTCTTTGCGGTTGTGTGGCTACGCACTGCCCAGCATTTTGCGTTGAGGGGTCAACGTACGTACGTCTAGCCGGTTTTCTTATTTATGTGAGTGTCTAAATATTCCAATTCTTTCTGCCTTGTGCTTGTTCTCATTTAAGGAACACCGATCGATATAATCGACACCGATATGATTCCTTTTTTTTAAATCAATTCTTCTAAATAAATGTACCCCATTATTATATATGATTGATATATTTTATATAAAAAGGAATAATTCCTGCAGCCTCTACAACATACAAAGCGAACTCTTACAAGGTTTTAGTTTCGGCACAATTTTGGATTATCAAATTAAAGGAAAGAACACACTTGAAAGGAAGCAAGAAATGTGTTCCTATACATGTCAAAAAAGAAAATGCAGTCTCTTTTTTCTAGTACGGAAGGAGTACCATTTATCTCTGCTTCCTCGTAAAAATGATAGAGTAGGGGCTACCCTACGTCTCTACCTATAGGAAACTTACGCGCTACTCCACTTAAGCCTTAGACCTTATTTGGATGCGCGTGTATTCATATCAATCTACGTGTGTTGAAGTGGATTGAACATTGGAGTGGAATTAAACTAAGTTCCATTCAATTCCACTCCAATACATGTGGATTGAAGTGAATACACGTGCATCCAAACAAGACCTTAAGGAGCTATAGAGGAACACATTTGTTGTCCGAGTGTGGCTGGCTACGTGAGGTTTAATTTTTTCACGTAACTCGTCTTCATTTATGTGAATGTGGGGTGAATTAAAATGTAGCTAAAACCCTTGAATGTGCTTGTTCACCTCAATTCGAGATATCGCCATCTTGTACTACTAACAAGTTGGTTGAAAAAGAAAAGTTTGAAGGACACGAGTCCATCCATTATTATATCATTTTCTTCTTCTTTCACAAACAATAAAGTCTTGGCTGATACCGCGCGTCAAGCGTGGTTAGCCATCTTTCAAAACTTAAAAAAAACAGACTTAACGTCTATTCGGATATACATAGCCAGTTATTAGTCGAGGCTAAGAATTTGTTCAAATTAGCTAAGGTTAGATAGCTAGTTACTAGTTTAAGACTTAACTGAAAATTAGTTCACTTATTAACTCTCCTATTTAGATGAATTAGAATTAATTTTAGCTAACTTTTAGTTAACTAGCAATTAGTCCTTTATCAAACAAGCACTTAGCTGATACTGTCCCCAGAAAGCTCACCGTCCAAATTTATCGGGAGATTCGTGGCCCAATCCTATTTTGACACGACACACATGACAGAGTCGACCGACCAGTTTTGTTCGAGGTCAAAATTCAGCTAAAACAAGAGCAATTGTAACTACCAGTGTCCAGGCCAAATGACGCAGGAACTAGAATATCGTTGACATACGAATCCGCTGACGTGTTCTTACGCTATTTTCTTAGGATTAGGAAATTACGGTGACGTGTCTAAAGCCGAATAAATTAAACGGTGACGTGGTGAGAGGAGCATGCAAAGATCTCGTATATCCAGCGGTTTGCACTAATATATACTGGAAAGTAACTTACGTGTACGGCCCAAGAAAGTGAGTTCAAATTTGGGAGTGAGTAGGGTGGGGAGAGAGTTGAACCAGCTACCTGGAAGATCTCATTTCAAGCTGACAGGTGGGGCCAAGAGAAATGAGAGGGGAACAACTCATCTAAATGATTGTGCTGAGTAAATGATATGGAGGACGCTCCGTGGACAGTCCGATAGGACATTAAGTTTGGGATTTGTGTTTAGAGAGAAGAGATTGATATTGGGGCCTTTAGTACAACCTATAGAGTTTGTAGAAACCATTCTAGGTCCAGAGATCATTTCTCGGGCGATAACCTTGAGGATATTATTAAGTCAACCATTGACTTGATCAAGATTGACCCTGGTTGACTTGGTCCAATAGATGGAGATCATGAGAACTGAGAGCTGAATTTGGAGTCCTTGTCCTTTAAGAACTAGATTCAAAGGTTTCCATTGAATCAATAAGGTCATCCATTGCCAAGAAGAGCTAAGAAAGGTTTGGGGTTTTGTGCTATGGTTGGTGCCGTGATACAAACATATTGTGATGTGTATCAAAGATGCGGGTCATGATCTAGGGGAAATTGGTGAGAGCTTCGGGCTTCAAGGGGTGTCGTTGAAAAGTTCTAAGTTGGAACGACCTTTGGGTCGTGCCATCTCTCATGTTCCTATCCAACCAGGATTCCTATAATTGTTGCATAATATATTCAATTGATTGTTAGCTTCCTCTTTTTTTACGAAGGAACGATCCTACTTTTATAGAAAGCAAAATGAAGTTTACAAAGTGTTAAAACACACACAAACCCCACCGCTGGGGATACCAGCTTACAAACTATGCGCAAGTTCAAGAAGACCCCAAGATAGAGCGAGGTAGAACCAACTACACCTAATTCTAGTGCAAAAGAAACAACAGGTATTCACATCAGCCCTTCCACTTCCATGGCCCTGTCCGCTTATCTTATAATCCGTACTTTTCAACTTGTTTTTCTGTCGGAACAGTGTTTTTCTCTCACAACAAAACAATCGGAACAGTGTTTCGGCTTGTTTTTTTAGCGAAGCGAACGGGGCCCATGTCTTCAGTTTGCATCCAGATGGTTTCCAGCTAAATTTTCATGCTATCAGGCACACACACAATTTTTTTTGTTCCCCTTCCGGTGTCTTTTCTTTAAATTCTCACCGGCTTGTAATCTATCTTAAATTGCCAGCGAACAACATGAAGATTCTCACCTTCATGGGAGTCTTGTTTTTCCATAATTTCATCATTCTCTTGATAGAAATTCCTCGGAAAGTTAGATTTCTATACATGGATCTGGTGGAATACTGTCTCGATTTTTACATAATCCAATCATCATATGTTTCCTCCTCTTCACTCAACTATTGGTGGTGCCATATTGAGCAAAGGATTTTTTTTAAATATTTATTTCTCAACAGGTTGAAACACATGTCCTCTTTATTTCCTTTCTCTAAAAAAAATGATGGTTGGCGCGATATGGCGGATTTCACCGCGTTCCAAGTAATTAAATAAATTAAATTAAACAGGTCATCCTGGACAATGCAGAAACTACAAACGGAAGTGCACACAGAGGATTGGACCGTCGGACCGACCATATAAAAAAAACTAGTAGTAGGGTGTCCCTCTCCCTCCTCTCGAGCGTCGGCATGGTCGTCACTCCCCTCTGTAATCTGCACGCTTGTCGTGATCTGACTTTTAGTAACCTCTTGACGGGCATTTGACTTTCCACTTGGCTAATAAAAGGGGAACAGGGGATTACTCTTCTAGGCTATGTTCGGCTGCCCGTAAAGTTGCTTATGCTGATTTATATAGCTGATTTGTTGGAAGAGAAAAATACTATACCATAACTTATAAGCCGGCTTATAATAGCAGCCGAACACTCCCCTATACTATAACACAGACAACAAGCACCATGTTCGTTTGGCTTATTTGGCTTATAAGCCATATTTTTTCAACCAACAAACAATATTTTTGTCTCACACTAAATCAATTAGCAGTACTTTCAGTCATAGCTTATCAGTCAAAACAAGCCAAACGAACAGGGCGAAAGTTAGTTCATGGAAACTGCGAAGCTCATATAGTCTTGATGAGGTAAACCGTCGCGTCAGATCTGGTAAATTGGGGGAGAAATCAGGGCTTCAAGTCTTCTCGTTTCACTCGAGACTTCGTCTAGAGACGCGAATACAGTAGTAACTGGGGCTAGGGTTGCTGTACCTAGCCACGTAGGTACCTCTGCCGTGTGAATTGCCGGCGCCGGCGCCGGCGCGTCCGAGGACGAGGAGAACATACACGGCGGAGGCGGAGACCGGCACCGGCACCACCTGCTGCAGTACTGCTACTGTTACAGCAGGCAGGCAGCGTCCCTCCACGGTTGACGGACACGGTTGCCAGCCAAGCCACTGACCGCGGCAGCCAGCCTAGCGCCCCTCCACGGTTCTGATTTCGAGTGAGACCAATCTGACATGACATCCCATCCCCGACAACACGTGGAACCGCCACAAAACTAATCGCCTTTTTTGTTTTGTGTAGGACACAAATCTAATCACCCGTTGCCCTGCTGGGTTCTTCTCTCTCGCGCGCGCGCCCGCCAGCGACCTTCCTCCAGGGCCCCAGCTCATCAGCTGCTCGCCTGCTCCCGCTCTGTCTATATATTGGTCTTGTCTCACACTAATCCTCTCACATAATTAGCCACCACCACCACCACCAGTGCTCATCAGCCAGCCCTCTGTTCTGTTTGACAAGAAGAAGGAAGAAGGAACCAATAAGGTAAGAAGAGGAACTCAGCTCCAGCCACCAACAAGCCCGTACGTACATTGTGACAGGTGAGAGAGCTAGGGAGGCGCTGCTTCTTTCTTGCATCTTGCATTTTCTTTTCTCGATCGCGCTCCAATCTTCTTGCTTGGTACTACTGGTTGTCCTTCTCTGCCTGGCGACATTTCCTGGCATTTCAATCGGTTGCTGCACGCGGTCTCTTGCAGTCGCTACAACAAGGAAGGGAAACAAGGCCGCCGCGTCGCCATGGGAGTCCTCTTCTCGTGCCCCGCCGACGACTACGACCCGCTGGACCTGCAGGAGGAAGCGCCGGCGCCGGCGACGTTCTCCACCGCGGGCGCAGGGGAGCCAGCGCCGGCCATCCTCAGGGCGTCGCTGGGCTCCGGCAAGCTGCACATCGAGGGGTCGCTGAGCTTCAAGCGCGCGCAGGCCGCGCTGCTGCAGGTGGAGACCGAGATCTCCATCCGGACCGCCGACGCCGCCGCCATGCCCGCGCCGGGGCCCCTGCTGCCCAGGGCGAGGTTCGCCGAGCCGGCGGCCGCGGACAGCCCCAAGCACGAGGCGGCGGCGCTGAGGCTGCAGAAGGTGTACAAGAGCTTCCGCACGCGCCGCCAGCTCGCCGACTGCGCCGTGCTCGTGGAGCAGAGCTGGTGGAAGCTGCTGGACTTCGCGCTGCTCAAGCGCAGCTCCGTCTCCTTCTTCGACATCGAGAAGCAGGAGACCGCCATGTCCAAGTGGTCAAGGGCGAGGACGCGCGTCGCCAAGGTTGGCAAGGGGTTGCTCAAGGACGAGAACGCTCAGAAGCTTGCGTTGCAGCACTGGCTCGAAGCGGTGAGTGAGCATCTCAGCTGCCTGTACATGCTGCGAATCTGAACAGTTTTGTGCTAGTTTCTACTCATCTTTTTGCAGCCAATATATATGCAGTACTAACTTTTCATCAAACTGAAAATTGTTTTATGATGAACAGATTGACCCGCGGCACCGGTACGGCCATAACCTTCACTACTACTATGATTGCTGGCTCCACTCCGAAAGCAAGCAGCCTTTCTTCTACTGGTTAGTACTAACTCTGCTACTATCTCGGATTTCATAGTTTCAGCCGCTGGCTGCAATGATAACTTAAGCTGATGATCTTGGTTTGGCGATGCAGGCTTGATGTGGGAGAAGGCAGAGAGATCAATCTTGAAGGCAAGTGCTCAAGATCAAAGCTTCTCAGCCAGTGCATCAAGTACCTTGGTCCAGTAAGTATTTACTGAACAAAGGAGATCTACTGAGCAAAGTGAAAAAAAATACGATGGCTAATGTACCATGCTTATATTTGCGCAGAAAGAAAGAGAGGACTATGAAGTCGTAATCGAGGACGGCAAGTTCTTGTACAAGAAAAGTGGTCAGATCCTTGACACTTCTTGCGGACCGCGAGACGCAAAGTGGATCTTTGTTCTTAGCACGTCTAAGAACTTGTACGTTGGCCAGGTAAATATTCTGATGCCGTCGTATATTGGAAAAGGTTCACTAAAGCCTAGAATTATCTGTTCATCGTGTAACATTGTCCTGTAACTTCAAATCAAATGCAGAAGAAAAAGGGTACGCTTCAACACTCTAGCTTCCTTGCTGGAGGGGCCACTTCTGCTGCTGGGCGATTGGTTGTTGAGAATGGAACTCTGAAGGTACCTATCAATCTACTACCATTCTAGCATGAGCAGATTTTCAGTTGCGCTTTCAGTGACCACTTTGTTAGATGTCATGCTGAGGCAAATGTGCTATGTTTGTGTGACAGGCTATCTGGCCTCACAGCGGGCACTACCGGCCGACAGAGGAGAACTTCCAAGAGTTCAAGAGCTTCCTCAGGGACAACTTGGTTGATCTAACCGATGTTAAGGTTCGCACATCACAACCCTGATCATTCAGAAAGTTAACTGAACATCAGTGAAGTTCATGTGAGGTTAATTCTTTTTCTGTGAACTCGCTTGCTGCAGATGAGCCCAGATGAGGAGGATGAGGAGTTCTGGGGCAGTCTCAGGAGAATCACTTCAGAGACCGAGAAAACGCAAGACCAAACAACGGCTGCGCCTGAAGAAACCGGTCCTGATGCTGCTGGCAGTGGCAGCACAGATTCCCAGAAATGCGAGGAAGAAACTGCAACGGCACGGACAGAACCATCAGAAGACGTCGTCGATCAGGCGGCGGGCGAAGAGCAGCAGGCGCCGGTGCCGCGGGAGAAGATCCTGCAGCGGATCAACTCCAAGAAGGAGATGAAGTCGTACCAGCTGGGCAAGCAGCTGTCGTTCAAGTGGACCACGGGGGCGGGGCCCCGGATCGGGTGCGTCCGCGACTACCCGTCGGAGCTCCAGCTGCAAGCGCTGGAGCAGGTGAACCTCTCGCCGAGGTGCAGCGCCGCCGTCGCCGCCTCCCGGTTCGCCTCGCCGCTTAGGCGAAGCTTCAACCAGCCAGCGTCAGCGAGGGGGTGCGAGGCGTCCACGCCGAGGGAGGCGTTCCGGTCGCCTCTGCAGCACGGAGCACTTGCGGTTGCAGCCGTAGCTGACTGACGCAACGCACAAAAGTTGCAGGCTTGCAGCTGAAAATTTTCTTGAAGAATCCTCAGACAATTCGATGAATGAAGGCCTTGTTTAGATACCTTCAAAATTCCAAGTTTTTTCACTCTCTCTCCATCACATCAATTTTTAGCCGTTTGTATGGAGCATTAAATGTAGGTAAAAAAAAAAAATTACACAGTTTAATTGGAAATCACGAGATGAATCTTTTGAGCTTAGTTGGTCCACGATTGGACAATATTTACCAAATAAAACGAAAGTGCTACTATTCATCGGTTTGAATTTTTTTTTAATCTAAACAAGGCCGAAGATGTGAAAAGTTTTGAAGAATCCTCAGACAATCCGATGGATGAAGGTGTGTATAGTAGGTACTAGGTAGGTAGGGGCCAGGGGAAATAATGGAATATATACTGAATTGAGTAGATTTCATTCTCATTCATAGGGCAGGTAGTAGTATACAGTATACTAATAAATACACATTGTTCACCGAAGGATGTGATGCTAGTAGTTAACCACAAAGGTTTTATACAAATTCTTTCATTCCTTATTACATGTATAAAAAAAAAACTGTACTGAAGCAAGCATGGTTTGACATGTATTGCGTGGAATTTTGTACAAGTTTATGTTGGCATTAAGTCAGGCTCTCTCTACGCAGCTCGTGTCAAACGAACCTCTCAACTACTGAAGCATACAGTTGCAGCTGAAATTTTCTTGAACGTTGCTCAAACTATTGCTCAAGCATGGTTTCGCTTGTGTTTCATTGACAGTTGTAGTATAAACTACCCGAAAGAGTTTTAAAAAGACAGTCTCTTCAGACGGACTAACAAACGTAGACAGTCTCATCAGACGGAGTAACAAATGCATAGCCCTATGAAGCACTTGCTTTTGTTAATTTTGTTCCTGCTGCAAGCACTGATCAAAGGGAAGATTACTGCAGTGCAGTTCATTGGTTGTTGAACTGAAAAACAACAAAACTTCCAATTGGATTGTTGGGCTCCCCACCTCAAAAATGGAGAAAGAACCCAACAGAATGCGGCTTATGCAGCAGGGGCACACGGTATTCCTTAGGCTGACACAAAACATAAATTGACTAGTTGGGCTAAGGGCCAGAAACATACATTTTTAGATGAGATGACTATTTTCTTTAGATGGGCTTACGGCTTGTTTAGTTTGCAAAATTTTTGGTGAAATGGTACTGTAGCACTTTCGTTGTTATTTGATAATTAGTGTCCAATCATAGTCTAATTAGGTGAAAGGTCCTTGTTGGTTTTGGTAATTGAGTGACAACCTAGGTGGACTAATTGTGTTTATGTAAGATACACAGGTGATTAGTCCACAGGTACATGTGTATGAGCAACATATGCCATGGAGGTGAAAATGGCTTGGAGATGTTGCAAAGCTCACACATGTGATGATGAAGGAGCTTATTGCACATGAGACATGACATTGAGTCATGTGATCAAGGTGGAGAAGATCAAGACAAGACTTGGCTTGATGGACCGGTTGCAAGCGTGAAGGGCAAGTCAAAGGCTTTTGAGTGATGGACATGCGTGGCGGTGAAGCTTGAGCAAGACTTTGGCGCCCGATGGACGATATAGCAACGGTGAAGAGCAAGTAGAGTCAAGATCGATGAACCAATATGATCATGTGATGATATGAAGTGGATCATATCATTGTTGATCGTGTTGGTGCATGTGTTGCATCGACATTGAAGGAGATGGAATGGAATGCGCAAGGCAAAGGTATAACCTAGGGCATTTCATTTCACCGGTCATAGGTGTGTAGAGAAGTTTATGACCGAATTTAGGATAGATGGCCGTACTATCAAGAGGGGCAAACTTGTTTGCATATCGGTTATCTAGTGCCACTCGAGTGATCTAACTTTGCATTGTCGCTAGGATCGAGTGGCGTGGCAAGTTGAGTGGCTAACATCCTTTGGGAAATGATTGTGAAAATGCTAACACACATATACATGGTGGTGTACACTTGGTGGTGTTGGCACATTTACAAAGGAGGTGGTGTTTGTAGGGGTGAGATGGGTTTGGCTCCCTCTCTCCCTTCCGCCGAGCTTGCGAGGCGGGATTCGGCGCTTTCGAGAAAATAGAATGCCTATTTTCTATTGCGCCGGATGCAAGTTCTTGTGGTTAGCACATTGAAGCAAGGGTGATGAAGTTAGAAGTGAAAACGAGTTAGTCGCTTGAAGATCTTTGGCGTCGGTCAGTGACCGGATATTTGGATCTGAATGCATCGAACATTGGCGAAGCTGCGTCCGGTCGGTGACGTTCGATGACGCGAAAAGTTGGAGTGTGACCGGGACGCGTCCGGTCGAGGTCGGCTCTATACTATAAACGGCCGACGGACGCCGGGGTTCAGCGCCCGGTCGATTGAAAGCTGCTGCGTCCGGTCAAGTCAAGTGACCGTTGGAACCGGGACACGTGGCCGTCTGCGGGCGACCGGACGCTGAGGTCCAGCGTCCGGTCAACACGATCGGAGCATCCGGTCAACACGACCGTTGCCCAGTGAAGGGGTAACGGCTAGTTTAGCCCTTGAGGCTATAAATAGAAGTGGCCCTCGGCCATGGCTGGTGCTGAGCACCTCAAGGGACTTAGTGTCCATGCTTGTGAGTGCTTGGGAGCCCTCCATCACACATATACTTGATAGTAATCATTTGATTATGTGAGTGAGCGATTCTAGTGCGATTGCATCGTGAGGTTGCATCGAGTGGCACTAGGTGGTCGTGTTGTAAGCCGGTGGTGCTTATTACTCTTGGAGGTTGCCACCTCCTAAACGGCTTGGTGGTGGTCTCCGTCGAAGCCCGCAAGAAGCTTGTGCGGCGCTCCGGAGAAGTGCTTGTGAGGGGTACTTGTGCTCGCCCCGCTGAAAGGTCCTAATGGCTAGAGGGGGGGTGAATAGCCTAATAAAATTCTACAACAACACTTAACAAAATGTGTTAGACAATTTTGTGTCGAAGCGAGTGTTGCGCTAGCCTACTAAAATGCAAGCCACCTACCACAATTCTATTTCGAATAGTGTATGTCCACACAATAGCTATGACACTTAGCTAAATTAGTGTGCTCTTAAAGACTAACTAAAGAGCAACACTAATCAAACAAACAAGCTCTCACAACTAGCTACACTAAAGAGCTTGATAACTAGTTTGCGGTAATGTAAGAGTGAGCAAGAGAGTTATACCGCCATGTAGTGGTAGGAACCAATCAATCACAATAATGAATACCAATGTAGACCAATCACCTCGGAGTCAAATGATGAACACAATGATTTTTATCGAGGTTCACTTGCTTGCCGGCAAGCTAGTCCTCGTTGTGGCGATTCACTCACTTAGAGGTTCACGCGCTGATTGGCATCACTCGCCAAACC